TTTGATCGCAGTCATAATTCACATGGAATTTTTCACGTACACCTACATATGTACATACATATGCATGCAAGTTTTTTCCAGTAAAAATTTCTTTTTTCTCGGAGTCATATGCCTAAGATGTACATAGTACTTGTGTATTTAACAAGTGTGCAATACATTGAATGAATTTTTAGCTTTTTCGTTTGTTTTTTTTGTAATACACAATTTGTAGTATATTCACTTTTATTGTTTGAGTTTTTTTGCTCACGCTTTAAATTAGTTAGTAACTAAAATCAGAGGCTTAATGCGAAAGGTATTGTAAGACTGACACTGAAATAAATGCATTTGTTCTGTAACAGTAAATAACATTGTCTTTCTTTTAATCAAAACTAAGGAATTTTATTGTGCATATTTTTTTTTTATTGAGCATATTTCGCTAATTTTTGGGATTATTTTAAGCGCATAAAACGGGATTTTTCGGGCATATTTTTATCTTCTCTAGTCATAATCAATATATCGAGGGCTGATATTCAATACAATCTATCTGCAATTTTCAGAAAAACTACTTTCCGACGTTGAACCCATCTGGTGCTTAGCTGTCATCACTAATTTTAATTTGAACTATGCAATTCTATAACAAATTTTTCTAATAAACGATATACATACATACATCAATAGCAATATCGAAAAATATCGACAACAAAATCGATTAAAATATCGATAACAAAATCGATAGCAAAATTGATAACAATATCGATAAAAATTTTGGTAACAAAATCGATAAATACCAATAACAAAACCGACAAATATCGATAAAAATTGATAAATATCGATAACAAAATCGATAAATATCAATAACAAAATCGATAAATATTGTTAACAAAATCGATAAATATCGATAACAAAATCAATAAATATCGATAACAAAATTGATCCAAAATCTATAAGTATCGATAACAAAATCGATAAATATCGATAACAAAATCGGTAAAAATATCGCTAACAAAATAATTAAAAATATCGATTACAAGTCGATACAAATATCGATTATTATATCGATAAATTCCGAAAACATCGATTTTTTTTTCGTGGGCAGGGGGTCCAAAATGCCTATTGCATCATCAAAGCTGTCGTCACAACAATGGTATGTCCGGAGACTAAAACACTCCTCCCGAATTGGAACCGTCGCCCACCCTGGGACCACTAATCGCATTGCTTCAGGGTGGCGTTCCATATTTCTCATTAACTAAGTATTCTGCATATTTAGCTATGTTCTTCCAGTTAGTTTCGCTATGTAGCATGGCTTGGATGACGTTATCTGGATTAATTGGTCCCACAAGGTCTTGCAGATTATTGCGCTCGGTTTCCCATCTTTTGCATCTGAAAAAAGTGTGCTCGGCATCGTCTTCTTCTGCGTCGCTGTATATGCATGACGGCTCTTCGGCTTTTCCCATTCTATACAGGTATTTGCGAAAGTAACCATGCCCAGACAGCATTTGTGTGACGTAATAGTTTATTTCGCCATGTTCTCTTTGGGTCCACAGTTTTAGGTTTTTTATTAGCCTAGCCGTCCATCTGCCGCGGCTTTCGTTTTGAAACCTATCTTGCCATAGTCTTAGTGTCTCGTCTCTTACTCTTTCCCTTTCATTGGCACTTGGATTCGTTTGCGCCTTAAACTCCCACATTTTCTTGCGTTCGGCTGCTAGCAGGTCAATGGGAACTGTTCCGCTTATAACTAGTATTTCCTCGCCGGACACTGTACGGTACGCAGAGGCTACTCTTAAAGCTGCTGTGCGATGAGCTCTAGAAAGTGTCTTGCAACGGTTTTTTTTCTGTAGGGTGTCAGCCCAGATCTCCGCTCCGTATACCAAAATATTCAAGGTTGTGGACATTACAAGTTTTCTTTTACTTTGGGTCGGTCCACCAATATTGGCCATTAATCTGCTTAGGTAAGCCGTTACCTTTGCTGCTTTTGCGGCTGCATGCTGCATTTGTTCCCAATACGTTAGCCTGGGGTCTAGCCTTACGCCTAAGTACTTTATTACTCTTTGCGTCTTTAATGTAATGCCGGTCAGTTTCATGCTCACTTCTAAGGGAATACGCTTCTTGGTTAGGAGTATTACCTCAGTTTTCTCTGCTGCAAGTTTAAGACCGTGTGAGTCGAGCCATGCCTGTGTTCTTATCATAGTCTGGTTTAATTTGCGACGGGCGTATTCGGTGTCTCTTGCAGTGATCACTGCGGCAATGTCATCAGCGTAGCCTACTAAATATGTGTCATCTGGCATCTCGAGGTTTAATATTCCGTCGTAGCTGACGTTCCATAGGTCTGGCCCAAGAATGGAGCCTTGTGCTGCGCCCGACGTGATCGTCATTTGCCGGGGTCCATCGGTGGTATGGTACAGTAACTCCCGGCCTTCTAGGTAGCTTCTGACCATGAGTCTAAGGTACGTGGGTATGTTGTAGACTTCTTCTAGTGCGTGTATCATATTTTCCCATTGTGCGGTGTTGAAGGCGTTGCGAACGTCTAAGGTTGCAAGCAGGACTAGCTTTTTGTGTTGGTATGCGGCTTCTACTGTTGTTGTTACGTGTTTTATAGCTCCAATTGTTGATCTACCGGGCCTGAATCCGTACTGTCTTGAGGAAAGTCTGCCACCGCTAGCGATAGCCGCTTCTCTTCTAGGTTTTAGCAGCCTTTCTAAGAGTTTTTCAGCTGTGTCCAGCATACAGAGGGGTCGATACGCTGATGGTGAGTCAAGGTTTCCCTTTCCTTTGGTGATTAGGACGAGCTGCTGCCTTTTCCAAATTTCTGGGAATATTCCGTTCTTGAGGCAGGCATTGTACATATTTAGAAGCACTTGAGGGCGTTCTGTGGCGATTATTTTTAGAACTTCTGCTGGAATGCCGTCTGGGCCTGGTTCTTTCTTGGCCTTTACTCTATTAGACTTGAGCTCTTCTGCGGTAAATGGTGGTATTTCTTGAGGAGCGATGATAGGCTCCATTTCTTTGGTTAATGCCTCATGCGTGGGAAAGAGTTCGCTTACTATGTAGTCCATTTTTTGAGCGCTAAGCTCTGGTGGTTTTGCCATGGCCCCAAGGTTTTCATTACAACCTTGTATCCGAGACCCCAGGGATTTCTGTTTATATCCTCACGCAGTTCTTTCCACTTTCTGTTCTTGCTGGCCTCGATTGCTCGTTTGAGTTCTTTTCTAGCAGCTTGGTATAGTTGTGCCTCTTCGATTGCAGCGCTTCTACGCCTGGCCCTGGTGTAAGTACGCCTCAGGTGGAGGCACGTTCGTCTTAGTTGGGCTATGTTTTCCGTCCACCAATATGCAGGTGTTTTGTGTCGATTGCTTTCAATTGTCGGCATCGCTTTGGTACAGGCTCTGGAGATCATTTTCATTGTAGTCTCTACTATTTGCATTGCGTTATTGTGAGAGGATTCTTCTGAGCCATGCGCATTTATTTCAGATAGTAGTGCTTCACTATTTAATTTCGAGACATTCCATTTGCGAGTGCTACATTGCATTTTCTTTCGTAAACCATCGTTTTTGGAGTCTATTATAAAAGAGATGTATTGGTGATCGCTACCAGTGTAATCTTCCAATACTTTCCATTCCTTTATGGTGCCTGCTATGCCTTCTGATGCTAGTGTGATGTCTGGCGTGGTTTCCTCGCATCCTGGTCTTCGGAAGGTTGTTGCTGCGCCAGTATTTAGCACTATAAATCCGAGTCGGGCTGACATTTCTAGCACGCGTTTGCCTCTGGAGTCCGTGATTGGCATCCACCACTCCGTGGCTCTTGAGTTTAGGTCTCCTGCCATCAGAAAGGGTCCTTCCAAGTTCATGGCCGTATCTTCGATATCGTCGAGTTTATCTTGGAAGTCTTGTATGCTATCGTTTGGTGTCAGGTAGCAGCTTATTATATTTATATGGTTGTATCTGGCCCAGGCGAAGCCGCTTCCATGTCCTTTTTCAGAGATGTGTATGCTGCTTCCGGGGGGAGCCCATATAGCAGCGGTGCCACTGCTGTCTTCTATCCAGATCCCGTTTTCTTTTTTCTTATACTGTTCGCTTATGATTACAAGGTCATAATGCCGCTCAGTGATCATCTGTGTCAGTAGCGCGTCAGCCGTTTTACTTCTGTGCATGTTGGCTTGCAGGACATTCATTTCTTGGGCCAGTTTCTATATACTGAGCATCTTATGGAGCTTGGGATGTGATCCAGCTCAGTGTATTTGGCTTCCGAGCACAAGCAGCATTTTGGTGGCTTATTACACTCTTTTAGCTTATGACCTGGTTGACCGCATTTTATACAGAGGCCTTGCCCTCTTCTGTCTGGGCCTTTGCAGCCCCCGATTAGATGGCCAGGGCCAAAACATCGAAAGCACCTCTTGCAGTTTTCTTTGAGTCGCACTCTACAGTTAATACAGCCGATTTTGATCCTTGCTTGCTTTATTATTATATCAGCTTTTTCTTCATTGAGCGTGACGAAGGCCCTCACCTGTTCTCTACTGTTGGGAGCGGAGATATTGATCTTCATAGCTTTGTCGTATCCTTGCAGCATACCCCTTACTGAGTCTTCGACTTCCTTTTTTGTCGTTAAGGAATCGAGGTCTCTTATTTCGACTGTGGCCCTTGGTTTAAGGTCTGCTACAGTAGCGGTCTCTCGTAGGGTGCACTTTAATACCTCGCAGAAGCTTAAATTCGCCGATTGCCCCTTCTCTAGCTCCAGTAGTACTGCTCCAGCCCTTGTTTCCGAAAACATCGATAGCATAATTGATAACAATAACGATAAAAATTTCGATAACAAAACCGATAAAATTATTGATTATTTTATTGATAAGTTTCGAGAATCCCGAAAATCTCTAAAATCCCAAAATAGTTCCCAGATTGAGTATCTGTGTCTCTCTCTATATCCTTTCCTCTTTACTAACCTTTATTTTAATCTTTCTTCCACTATCTTCATCTTTACTTTTATCGGTATCCTCATCCTAATCTTTGGTTTTACTTTTATGTTTATCATTTTCTTCATGTACATATTTCCCTTCCACCTTTGCCCTTATATATGTAAGTAAAGTGTTTGAATTTACCTTGGTCTTCATTTTTGCCTTTAAAAAACAACACATCAAAAACAAAAATTTCATTTTTTAAATAAAATTATTATTAGAAATGAAAAAAAAACAGATTTATTAGTATTATTTATAGATATTAAAGATATTTTAAAAGATCACTTTGGCCAAATTTTCAAAATCTGGTTTACGTCAGTTAAAGCCGTTCGTAACAGTTCTGTTGAATGTTGGTTAGTAAATATGTTTCGTTTAAATCTCCAGTGAAATATGTCCAACAGCAAAATTCCGGCGAAATGTCATCTGTTCTCTCGCAAAAGAAAAATATCCAAAATAGAAGGCGAACAGAAAATTTGCAGAAACGACGAACAGCTGATACAAATTTTGTTCACATTCAAAAGCATAAAATTGAAAACGTAAGAAAACAAATACTTTGCAAGTTTTTTGCGTACGTGAACACAAAAAGCTCATAGTTTTTATAACTTTCAATAATTATCAGGTACGCGAATGCAACTAATTGTGAACGGTATTTTGACTTTGCGAATTTCATTGTAGAGTACAAAGACTAACAGTTATATGTTGGACCAAAAATTGAAAATATACGGATCGCAGCTGTTTTCAACAGCGGATATTTTAAATCTGGTACTTGTTGCCGGAATTCAAGCAATAGCAAAGCTTTATGTTGCATTTCCAGTGCCTTATCTTCTTTTAATTCCAAAAACTCCAACTCTTCTTCCATTTTCTTAAAAAGAAGTATTGTAAATTCATCCTCAATTATGTAAATAAAAATATGCAAATAAAAGCATGCAAACGTATGTACATTTAAATAGCTTCAAATCGGCAAAGCTTTTTTCAAAATGTGCTTTTAAATCATGTGCAATATTTTTTCTAGCCATGGAAAATGACATATTATTCTTTGTTTGAGATCATAAATAAAAATACAAGATAAGCTTTTTATTCCCTCCTTGTAGAGACAAAGAGCCAATTTACACGACGACATTTCACCCTGTGTTTTTGGCACGTTCCCTTTTAAAAAAGTCTTCGAAAATCCTCGTGCATTTACACGATGACTTTTTCTTTACGGCGTTTCTTGCGTATTTTTGACATTTAAACGTCAAATTTTCTTTGGTCAACTCTTTCGTCGGGGCGAATCGCGAACTCAAAGCAAAAATACGAAAAAGTAAACTCGATAAAAGCGAAACGTCAAAAAACCCCTCGATTTCGCTCACCGTGCGTGCTTGCCTACCCCGCTGACTTCGCTACACTTCTTGACAACAAGCTCGACACGCATGACTTTCCACCCAGGGTGAAAAGTCATCGTGTAAATTGGCTCAAATTCAAGTTTTGCAAATTTTCCATCACATCGATAAAGAACATTAAGCCAGAAAGCTAATTTTCATTCTCCAATTGCGGGTAGTATTCCGATCTCAATTTGCGTATGTGTATATAAAAAGAACAAGAAAAGTAAGTGCGCCTGGGCCACACTGTAGAAGTGAAACTATCGTTACATACCTAATTTGTGTCATAATTAGAGAAGATAAAAATATGCATTTGCATAAAAAGTATATTTTTGCATATTTTTGCCATTTTTGGATGTGATAGCATATTTAAAGTTATAGCGTAAAGTCCAGCGCAAGTGTATTTGCCGCATTTCGTTCAATAAGTAGTCCTTGCATTGTACTCTACTCCCAACATATTGTTACTCTTTTTCCGCATACCTACACTACTTGGCGTTGAGAGAGTAAATACGTGACGTACTTGCTATTACTCCACCAAAGTAGGTACTCTACTTTCACTCATCGCGTACGAGAGATATTTGCTGCTGCCAAAAGGGAGTAGCAAATCTACTCTCTGTATACTTGTAGTACTGGAAGTACTTGCGTATTAAATTTCAATTCTGGTTGTTAGCCTACTAGTTGATATCGTTTGCGGCGCTGGTCAGTGAAATTGAAAGAGTAAAAATAGAATATGGAAATTGACGATGTAAGGAAATGTTTACGGTCTTAGTTATAGAAAATAACGTAGATTTAGACAGTTGTTTAATGTGACATTTTCATAAAACTTTTGTATTCACGCAGCTTTTTAAATCTGTGTATGTACTTATATTTTTATGAAAGTATTATTTCTCGTTTATAATTTTCTATAAAACTATTTGCAGTCAAAAACAATAGCTTAAGCAATCCTGCTATACGAAAATACGAAATAAAATTATTAGTGGCAAATCAAAATTTTGAAAAGTGCCGATTTTAACATTCGATAGTTGGACATGGTAGCGACGAGATGTACGAGCATTTTTTTCTTAAGAGCTGCATACTGATTTACAAATTTTTTTATAGAAGCAAATTTGTTTTCCATTTATTGTGCGTAATTTTATATGAATTTTTAGTTTTTCTTGAGAGCCTTTACAAAAAAAAAAATTTGGAAATATGTACATATGTACATACATACGCAGCCATATAATTTGATTTCAAGAGAATCGAATTTTCATTTGGCACGTTCAGAAGGCGCAACAGCTCAGTAACTGGTGCGATTGCACCTTCTGAACGCGTTGTTGCGTACTTCTGATCAACTGCATAGTTGCGTGTTATATGATAGTAATATTTTTCTGATCATTTGAGACAACATATTGGTGTGTACCTTTGAGAGTTGAATTTGACAGCTAATGTATGAAGTCGTTCAGAAGACGCATAACGATCACTGATTTTTTTAGCAACGGTTGCGTTCAACTGCTGCGCCTTCTGAACCTACCCATTAAAACCTTTTTTTGATAACACTGTGCTGACAGCTCAAATCGGTATTGATTAAAACAAATGCATGAGATAGTTTTTGAATTGCATTGAGTTTTTTTTAATAAATACTAAAATCAGAGGTGTATAAATGGCGAAAGAAAAACTTTATCTGATTTTTTTTAAATCGAAACTACATTTTTACATATGGACATATGTACATGCATACATAATTATATTTAATATGAAATTGAAATTTTCACATCAATTTGCGCTATCTTCAAACCATTGACCGTAACGGTTATAAGTTTTATTATAAAAATCACTTTTTAATCGTTATTAACTGAGTTTTATATTTTACTCGGAAAATAATCGTTACGTTTTAAGTTTTATTTTTTGCTAGGAAAATAATGGTTACGTTTTAAGTTTTATTTTTTGCTCGGAAAATAATGGTTACGTTTTAAGTTTTATTTTTTGCTCGGAAAATAATGGTTACGTTTTAAGTTTTATTTTTTGCTCCGACTAGATAAATTTAACAAATTTTCACAAAAATTTCGAACTTTTGAATCTGAATCTTAGACATTTTTGGGTGTGCAGTTTCATAGCCCAAAAAATGTTAGTATAATAAAGTGCAAGTTTAAAGGGGCTAAAAATCGCGTTGATTTTTAAATATTTTTTTTTTTACAACGAGTGCATTTTATAAAATCTGGCGTTGATTTTTTGAAATTTCTATGCGAAAGGTCTTGCGCATTTTACTTCAAATTAAATTCATGTTTATATGAAAAAAAGTACAAAAACCCCCCCGCAAAAAAAGTCTTTACCAATCCATTAAATTTTAGCCCCTTGAAACTTGTACTTTATTAGACTAACATTGTTGTTAAGATTCAGATTCAAAAGTTCGAAATTTTGGTGAACATTTGTTGAATTTATCTTAAAAAAATCTAAGTCAACCTAAAAAAATAAAATAAAAATTTGGAAACCAATGTTTGATCGCAGTCATAATTCACATGGAATTTTTCACGTACACCTACATATGTACATACATATGCATGCAAGTTTTTTCCAGTAAAAATTTCTTTTTTCTCGGAGTCATATGCCTAAGATGTACATAGTACTTGTGTATTTAACAAGTGTGCAATACATTGAATGAATTTTTAGCTTTTTCGTTTGTTTTTTTTGTAATACACAATTTGTAGTATATTCACTTTTATTGTTTGAGTTTTTTTGCTCACGCTTTAAATTAGTTAGTAACTAAAATCAGAGGCTTAATGCGAAAGGTATTGTAAGACTGACACTGAAATAAATGCATTTGTTCTGTAACAGTAAATAACATTGTCTTTCTTTTAATCAAAACTAAGGAATTTTATTGTGCATATT